GAGTAGGTGTCCAAAGTTTTGACTGGTAGTGTACATACATATACACATACATACACACTGTATATATACACATACATACATACACATACATACAAATAAATAAAAACAGAAAAAAAATGAAACAGAAAGCATTTGAACCCAGTCTGGCACCAAGAGAAGATTCATGTGGGAGACAAGCCTATACAATCTATATACACACGTACCATTTACCACATATAAGCTAAATATCTTTATAACTTAATTATAGGTAGCCCTTTTTCTTTTATTCCTGGCTGTGTCTAAATATTCCGCAAACGGAAATACACAATGGACAAAAAACATTTTCAGTTTCTCCTCATCGCTCAGCCACATAATGCCAGGGTTTATCTGGTGTGCTGTCTGGAATAAGAGCAAGCGTATTTCGTGGTAGAAAGGGCAATAGAGGATAAAATGAGTTTCATTCTCGAGGTCACAATAGTTACATAATTTTTCCTCTTCCATTTCACTACAATACCGACCTGTTTCAATACGCAGAGGCAATATCCCTGATCTTACCTGTGCACATAGCGATCTCTTGCTTTTAGGTTCACCCTTAATCAAACAAAAGGTTCTCAATTTGGGTGTATGATTAACCTCCTCCTCTCATTTTCTTTCATATTGCATCAACAGTTGTTTTGTACATATTGTACGAATTGCAATTCGTACAATATGTTAGGAATTTGCAATATGTATTTCATGTTACGAATTCCACTTTGTTTGTTTGCTAGGTGGCTAACGTTAGCTAGGCTAGGGGTTAGTGGCTATGGTTAGGGTTAAGGTAAGGAGTTATGGTTAAGGGAAGGGTTAGCTAACATGCTAAGTAGTTGCAAAGTAGCTTAAAAGTAGTAAGTAGTTGCAAAGTTGCTAATTAGCTAAAACGCTAAAGTTGTCTGTGATGTGATTAGAACATGCATGCTAGATGTCTGCGTTACACACCTAACCACCCACCCACCTACCCACCAACCTCCTTTTGTTTTTGGCTTAAGTGACCTTCTATCTTATGTAACCATACCAAACGTAACATATCATACTAATTTGAGTGTCACAGATTTATGTTCACTATGTTACGTCTAGTTTTTAAGGTCAGGCTGCCCTCTCGGGCTCCCCTGGGAGTGTGTTTCTCAACACAACACTGCATTGTCATCCCATGATAAGAATATAGACTTTGTACTGGAGATTTTCAACTGGAAATTTTCCACTGGGGATTTTCCACTGCTTTACCTAAAAGCCTCAGACTTCCCAGCTACCACATTTGGTTCCTTGGAAGTTGTGGGAATGTATGTTTTTGGTTTCACATTGGTTGTGGGAACAAAGCCATACATTTCCTGACCGGTAAAATTTTAAAAAATGTAAACATTCTGAGAACAGAAGTGATCATTTTGCCTGTTCTGGGAACGTTTATTTTTATGTTTCAGGGAGGTTCTGAGAACGTTTTACTCTGGTTCCTTAAACGTTCTCCTGGGAGGTTTTATTAACAGCCTGAAAACAGAAATTATAGGTTATTTAGAGGTTTTTGAATAACGTCCTTAAAACGTTCACTGAATGTTTCAATAAGACTTTTAATAACCACTTTTGTGGTGAACATTTTTTAACTCCAAGCACAGATTAGACATATGGAAATACATTTCCTTAGACAATCATGCAACACATTTATTTTTTATTGTGAAACGGCATCAGTAGGATTTTAATTTATGATCCAATGTCCATGCGGCACCATGATGGAGCTAGCATGCCATGTTTTTTTACGCATTCAAAGATGTTCATTTTAGTCTATTCAAACAGACCCCATTAAGATCAGGTGTCTGGCCAATTAGTGTGCACGGCCAACACCTGAACACACTTAACAAGATAGAGGATAGAGATAATTTGATGCTGAGAATGGTATGTATATGCTTTTAAATAACATTCTTAGAACGTTACTGAATTTTTCTTGTGGTTTTTATGGAAAGTTTTCTTCATGTCCTGAGAACGGAATACGTTTTTAAATAATTATTAGAACGTTACTAAAGTTGTGGTTTTTAAGTTTTCTTAACTTTCTCTGAACAATTTGAGAACAAACAGAACCACGCGTAAACCTGTAGGAAATGTTATGTTGAAGTACTTAATTTGAAGCCAACCTGTCTGCTGAGAGGAAAATTAGCACAATATTGTTTGCGAACTGCAGCAGCACCCCCAAATTATTCGTTCTCGAGTTAGTTTGTTGTACAGAGGCAGGCTATGTATGTTTTGGTTCTACAAACCCATCTAACATTCACTAATCAATTAATTGCATTCATTCTTGCACAAACAGCATGATCATTACACAGGTGCACCTTGTGCTGGGGACAATAAAAGGCCACTCTAAAATGTGCAGTTTTGTCACACATACACAATGCCACAGTTGTCTCAAGTTTTGAGAGTGTGCAGAGATACCGTGACAAGATCCTGAGGCCCATTGCCGTGCCATTCATCCGCAACCATCACCTCATGTTTCAGCATGATAATGCACAGCCCCATGTCACAAGGATCTGTATACAATTCCTGGAAGCTGAAATTGTCCCAGTTCTTCCATGGCCTGCATACTCACCAGACATGTCACCCACTGAACATGTTTGGGATGCTCTGGATCGACGTGTACGACAGCATGTTCCAGTTCCTGCCAATATCCAGCAACTCCGCACAGCCATTGAAGAGGAGTGGGACAACTATCCACAGGCCACAATCAACAGCCTGATCAACTCTAGGCGAAGGAGATGTGTCTTGCTGCATGAGGCAAATGGTGGTCACACCAGATACTGACTGGTTTTCTGATCCACACCCCTATTTTATTTTTAAAGTATCTGTGACTAACAGATGCATATCGGTATTCCCAGTCATGTGAAATACATAGAGTAGGGCCTAATTAATTTTATTTCAATTGACTGATTTCCTTATATGAACTGTAAAACTCAGAAATATCTTTGAAATTGTTCCATGTTGCGTTGATATTTTTGTTGAGTATATTAGGTGAAATACCAGTGTGCCATCACAGCAGCAATATTTGTGACCCGTTGCCACAAGAAAAGAGCAACCAGTGAAGCACAAACACCATTGTAAATACAAACTATATTTATTTATTTTCACTTTTGTACTTCAATTTTGCACATCGTTACAACACTGTACATAGCCATAATATAACATCTGAAATGTCTGCTAGTCTTTTGAAACTTTTGAGTAATGTTTACTGTTCATTTAATTATTTATTTAACTTTTGTTTATTATCTATTCCACCTGCTTTGGCAATGTAAACATTTTTCCCATGCCAATAAAGCCCTATGAATTGAATTGAAAAATAGTCATTCAAAAATGATGAATCGTTCGCAAACTGCACATCGCTACCGTCTCCAAAGACTCATTGGGCCATGGCTTCTGTGGGCCTGCTCTGACATGGGGCCAATGGGAGGCCGCTGGGACTTTCAATAGTTTACTCCTCCCTGTTCGCCCCAAGTGTCACCCTGGAGGATGGAAACACTTTTTTTTAAATGACATTAAACCTTGAGACCACCTCAGAGGTGTTGCAGGTATAGCTCTGGACAGAGCCCTGTAATTTGGATGGATGGTTATCCTCCCATACAGAGTTTTCATTTGACGTGATATGTATAGGAAATAAATGTTCAACCTACCTTGGTGATGTTACTTTAATTCTCAATTTGACAAATGTAAGGAGAAACAGTCTACCTTGCCCAAATTGGGACACAGGATAAGCCAATAACACACATGATATTGTTTTTAAGACCCCACTACTTGAATACAGGAGGCCGCCACAGAGGCACTGTCATCCCCTCTTGTCCCACATTGTATTTTAAAAAGCTACACCTAATAACTAGCCACATTAAACAAGACTAGGCCAAAACAATAAGACACAGACATTATACTAAACATTTAAATGTTGCATTTAAAAACGCTTGCCCAGCCAACGAGACACTCCTGTGGGGGTCTGAGCATGCCCACTGGGCAAAAACTGGTTGAATCAATGTTGTTTCCACGTAATTTCAAACCCAAAAAATCTATGTGATGACGTTAAATTAATGTGGAAAACACATTGGATTTCCAAAATGTAATCAACGTAAGGGCATTTAATAATTTTTAAAAACCTAACTTTTAACCTCATTCGAATGACATGGTGACATTTTTTTTGTTGATTTCATGTTGAATTCACAATAGTTGACAACTCAACCAAATGTAAATCAAAACTAGACGTTGAACTGACGGCTGTGCCCAGTGGGTGTGCACCTTTCAGAACACGCTACAATTTGCAGCATGCTGTATTCACAGAAACACAGGGGAGAGGGCTAGCATTCCTAGAAACCAAGGTTATTATAGTAAACTAAAACACAGACTAAATCTAGCCATGAAAAAACAATTTAAACTGAAATAAAAACATTAACAGATCTGTTTGAGAAAGTAGAAATACTGAAGCCATCTTTCGCTGCAAAACAAACTAAAATAAAAACCAAGAAATTATGTTCAGTGTCCATTTTTTGGGGTTGTGATCGAGAAAGACAGTTGTGCTAAAGCTTATGAGGCATTTATAAGTTATGATGCTATTCTTCAATAATCAATGGGTAGCCTAATAAAATGCGTAGCCTAATGAAACATTTAGATTGTAGGCTACCTCTAAAGCTACAATCTGTATGTTTTCCTACTTTCTGTCTCTAACACAAAAATGACATAACTAAATAATATAAAAACGAAATATATTTTTTAAATAAAACTAAACTAAATTAGAAATAGCAAATTAGGTCTGAAAACTAACTGAAACTAAAGTGAATAAAAAAACTTACAAAAAACCCAGAATAGTAATAAAAAATGAATGGAAAAACACAACTATAATAACCTTATCTTATCTCGCTCCCAATTTACCTCCCTGTCTTCGTTGGCGGCGGCCCTACACAGCTGCAAACGACACTCTCCCACCATTTGAGAGAGTGCAATAAAGATACTTGCAAGGGCAACGTTGCCCAATGTTCATAAAAGCACCATCTCCCCACAATCACCTGCTTCCGCTCTCGGCTCTGCCTTATAAAAGTTTCTCCACGGTTCTGGCCACAGTTCACAAGCAGGCACAGGTGAGAGCGATTAGTTCATGATTTGGTGACGTCATTTCTTGCTAGCTTTTTTATAGCTTCACCACAGTACTGTGGACTTCATACTGTAAGCGTGATGCTAGCTATGTTACTGTATGTTCATAGTGATTTTAGTTTCTGAGATTTGCACAGATTGCCTTGTATGTGAATTCATACATTTTACAATGTATTTAAATATTTGCCTTTGATAGAATTGTCTATCAAATGGAATGATAGCTAAACAGAATGGTACCCAGACTGCAATTCTCAGACCTTTCTTGATAGTCCATTCCTGTAACTCAACAATACTTTCTTGCACATTGCTATATTATCTTTATGGAGTCAGATATATTTTGATAGACTTTGTTAAAGGTAGACTCAGCGATATGACGGGTCACGTGAGGTATATATGTATCAACTAGATCATTAGCTGAATGCTAACGTTAGCTACCAGCTGAACCATAGCTAAACAGCTTTTACATTACAACTTTAGCATATAAAAGTGACCTTAGAATAAAACAGGCTTAATTTGATCAACATCATGTAAATCACTAGATGAGATGAAAGTGACTGAAAATGTTTAATTCACTGGGGAGTTGAACCTGCTTGCTGATGCTGTTCCATTGAAATGACCATTCTGACTGCTTTTGAGATTCCATTTTTTATTTTTAAGCTACTGCAACAATTAAAACATTTAACAGGCTATTACTGCAATTTCAGGTAAAAATTAAATAAAACAAGATTCAAATATATGTAAAATGTCTATACATTCTAAAAAGATTCCTCTCCTATTAAGATTTTTACTTTATGAGCATTTTGCTTGAGACAATTATAAATTCTACTGCTCGGATGGGGGTCTTGCACACTCCCTATGAAGGTGACATACGAGACATGAAAAATGTACACTACAGTAATATGTGTATACGCGGGTATTAAAAACTCTAGTAAATGTATGTAGTGTAAATTACCCCTTTAGAAATGTGAAATTGTTAAGGGATGCATTTGCTCAATTGTTTGGTCTTATTTGCAGAGTGTGGTTTTCAGTCATGACTCAACTACCTAGATTCTGGAACGTGGGATGGTCTTCCTTTCTTGACTGGTGGAGTAATCAGAGTGTTGTTTCAGAGCAAGGTGATTTTTAATGTTTTTGTGTCATCTGATGGAGGAGCGTGCACTTTCCAGGGTTCTCAACATTTGAATAGATATCTACAATACCATGAATTGGTTTTGTATAAAGATCTAAACCATGCAAAGAACTCGTTGGTGATTGTAATGATCGACTTTATGATCAGATTACCATGACTCTATTCAACCCTCTGCTTTTACCTCATTAGACAATGTGACAACTACAGGACCTTCTCAACCCTATGGTCAGCAGCACCTGAATGAACCTCTTCTGGACCACAGAGAGGGCCAGCTCTTCCTGACCGAGGCTTTTAAAGTGATCCTTGAGGAGGTGCTATGTAAGGGCATAGACGTCAACGAGAAGGTCTCACATCCCTACATCAAACTGTTGACTGTCTCTAGCCTAACATGACTGTTCTCTGCACTGTGTCATATATTGTTAGATGTTTTGCTGCACAAGCCTTTTGGTAAGTCTTGAGTGACAGATACCTGTCCAATGTAGCAAACATTTTTAGGAACCACTGGGCTTGTACCATTATGTTAACTGATATCTTCTTCACACCTGACTGTGTGCATCACAATCAAACCATAGAGGTACACACTCAGTGCTGTATTTTCAGGGGTTTCTTGTTCTTGTTATACACCTGGTTACAGGTGTGTGAGTGGCGCGAGCCAGAGGAGTTGGCTGCTTTGCTAGATCTGGAGCTGAGAGAGAATGGGGAGCCACAGCATCAGCTGCTGCAGAGAGTACGGGACGTGGCCAAGTACAGTGTCAAGACCCAGTAAGTCCGCCCTGGGCCTAGCTCTGGTCCAGGGTGTTAGGGCGGTTTGCTGCTGGCCTCACTAAGGCCCTGGACCAGAGCTACCCCGATCCCACAGGGAAACCTTAGAGGGAGATGAGTGTGGTTCTGGTTACAGTCGATTCTTGGTCAATGCAATCGCTTGGGACTGTCCAGAATGCATACACTAAAGTAAAGAGTATATCTCTTTCCAGATCATCCACGGTTCTTCAATCAGCTCTTTGCAGGGGTGGACTACCATGCCTTGACAGGACGATTCCTTACGGAGGCTCTTAACACTAGCCAGTAGGAGGGAGCAATATATATATATATATATATATCAGTGGAGGCTGGTGGGAGGAGCTATAGGAGGACAGGCTCATTGTAATGGCTGCAATGGAATCAATGGAACAGAGTCAAAAATGTGGTTTCCATGTCTTTGATGTGTTTGATACTGTTCCATGTATTCCATTCCAGCCATTACAATGAGCCCATCCTCCTATAGCTCCTCCCACCAGCCTCCACTAATATATACGCATATATACCTACCATCAATTATGTTATGGTATAAAGAGGCTGGATGGACTGTTGTACAATTTATTTTACAGGTATACCTATGAGGTAGCTCCAGTGTTTGTCCTGATGGAAGACGAGGTACTCTCAAAGCTACGTTCTCTAGTTGGGTGGGCAGAGGGAGATGGCATCTTCTGCCCAGGCGGTACTGTGTCTAACATGTATGCCATGAACCTAGCACGCTACCGGGCCTTCCCAGAAGTTAAACTAAAGGGACAGTTGGCCCTCCCTCGACTGGCTGTCTTTACATCTCAAGAGGTGGGGAAAACAGTATGGTAGAAGTAATACACTATTTAACTTCTCATTCATTCATATATTAATTCATTCTACACAAACTTTCCTCCAGAGCCATTACTCTGTGATGAAAGCAGCTGCATTTCAGGGTATTGGGACAGAGAACGTGTTTATGGTCAACGTGGATGATAGGTAAAGTGATAAGAACCTTTCTTTCTTTGTGACTCTTTTGTAAGTCATCTCATTAACATCTCTTATCATTCCTAGGCATACATGATTTACAGATTTTAACACATGCTCTCTGTTGTCCTACAGGGGTTGCATGATTACAGAGGACCTTAGAGAGAAAATTGAGCTGGCGAAATCTCAAGCAAGTTTGCTGTGGTTACCTTGTAATTTACTGTGTCAATTTTATTATATCTGCTGTGATACAGTATACAGTAATTATATAGATATCATTAGGAAATAGCCGCTAGACTAATGGGAATTGCTGATAGACAATCAGTGATATCTTACACAAGGATCTGGTGAATTCCTAGTACTCCGTCAACATTCCAAGTAGTTTATTTGCAATTCCTAGTAGTCTATCGGCAAAGCACATATCACACTACAACGCATCAAGTAGAGATGTAAGGACATCATTCATTACCCCTCCTCACCTACCAGGGGGCAGTACCATTCTTTGTTCACGCTACATCAGGAACGACGGTACAAGGCGCCTTTGACCCACTGGAGCCCATCGCTGACATCTGTGACAGACAGGGGTTGTGGATGCATGTCGACGTGAGTCCTTCTTAAAGTGATCTTTTATTCAAGAATCAAACTTTGTCCAACGTTCTCAGACCACAAAAGTAGTCTTCTGTCAAGATGATTCGCGACAGCATCTGTTATGTAGATCAAACTTCATACTCCATTCCCAAAAGAATGTCAAAGATAGCCACCGTCTAATTAAATCCTTTTCAACAGTGACCATATTTCCCATTGATTTTGAGCTGAAGAATACTGATTGGTGTTCTCTTGTGGTTTGTCACAGGCAGCCTGGGGAGGGAGTGTTCTCTTCTCAAAAGAACACAGACATCTCATGAGAGGAATTGAGAGGTGGGAGTCAGGTGCATGCTAAGGAATATACAGTGAGCACCATAATTCATTGGACAGTGACCATATGTTTGTTATTTTGGTTCTGTACTCTAGCACTTTGAGTTTGAAAGGATACAATGACAATGAGGGTGAAGTGCAGACTGTCAGCTTTAATTTGAGGGTATTTTCATACATATTGGATGAACTGTTTAGAAATGACAGCACCTTTTGTACATGGTCCCCCCATTTTAAGGTACTACAAGTATTTGTTAAATTGGCTTCACAGATGTGTGTTGTTAGGCAGGTGTATTCATTTGTGTCGTTAGTGAATGCATGAGAGCTGTTGATGAATAGTATTGATTCTAGACTTTGCTATTGCCTTTGGAGGTTGTTGTTGGGGTGTGACAACATGAGGAAGACAGCAGTGTCGATGCAAATGAAGCTGGCCGTCATAAGGCTCAGAAATGAAAATCAATCAATACGGAACATTGCAAAAACCCTGGCCATGCCCAAGTCAACAGTTTGGTTCATCATTAACAAGAAAAAAAAACAACCGGTGAACTCAATTATGTCAAAAGACCCGGTAGACCGAGGAAGACCACTGTAGTGGATGACCGGAGTTTACGCTCTATGGTGAAGAAAAACCCCTGACAACAGCACAACAGATCAAAAACACTCTCTTGGATGCAGGTGTAGATGTGTCAAAGTCTACCATACGTAGAAGACTACACCAGCAGGACTACAGAGGGTACACTACAAGATACAAACCACTGATAAGCCTGAAGAACAGAAAGGCAAGATTAAAGTTAGCTAAAAAGCACCTAAAAGAGCCCCAAGAGTTCTGGAAAAAAGTATTGTGGACAGATGAGACAAAGATTAACATGTACCAGAGTGAAGGAAAGAGGAAAGTGTGGAGAAAAAAATGAAATGCCCATGATCCAAAGCATACCACCTCATCCGTGAAACATGGTGGAGGGGGTGTTATGGCTTGGGCCTGTATGGCTGCCAGTGGAACAGGCTCACTTGTCTTCATGGATGATGTGACTGCAGACAGAAGTAGAACAATGAATTCTGAAGTCTACAGAAATATTTTATCTGCTCAGATAAAACCAAATGCCTCCAAACTCATTGGACGGCACTTCATCATGCAACAAGACAATGACCCTAAACATACTGCTAGAGCAACGAAGGGGTTTTTGATGGCCAAAAAGTGGAAAATCCTTGACTGGCCGTGTCAATCACCGGATCTGAATCCAATTGAACATGCATTTTACATGCTGAAGAGGAGACTGAAGGCAATAAGTCCCCGAAACAAGCAGGAACTGAAGATGGCTGCAGTACAGGCCTGGCAGAGCATCACCAGGGAAGATACCCAGCGTCTGGTGATGTCGATGCATCGCAGACTTCAAGCAGTCATTGCATGCAAAGGATATGCGACCAAATATTAACAATGATTACTTTAGTCTACATTATGTTAAACTGTCCGATGTTTTTTGATGCCCGAAAATGGGGGGGACCATGTACAAAAGCTTCTATAATTTCTAAACGGTTCATCTGATATGTATGAAAATACCCTCAAATTAAAGCTGACAGTCTGCACTTCACCCTCATTGTCATTGTATCCTTTCAAACTCAAAGTGCTAGAGTACAGAACCAAAATAAAATAAAAAATTGTCACTGTCCAATGAATTATGGTGCTCACTGTAGTTTCTGGAATGAAATGTTACACAATATCTAAATGTGCTGCAAAAAACAAAGCTCCGAAATTTAATTCAGCCTGTGTGTGTACCAAAGTATAGGTTAGGTGTATTGATGTCTCGCATGACTGGGCTAGTCTTCCGTAAGGCTCAACATATGACTTTGACTCCCGAGTGTAATGATGTGAATGTTTGTGATCAGAGCCGATTCAGTAACTTGGAATCCACACAAGATGATGCTAACTGGCTTGCAGTGTTCAGCCATTCTGCTCAAGGACACCACGGTAAGACAACACAATACCCCTTCACCCAGCCTGGTCTCATAGACTAGACATAACATAGTAACGTAAATCTGAGACACTCAAATTAGTAGGATATGTTACGTTTGGTATGGTTACATAAAACAGAAGGTTACTTAAGGCCAAAACAAAAGTTGAGTGGATGGGTAGGTGTATAACATGAGCATCTCACGTTTGAATCTCATCATGGACAACTTTAGCATTTTAGCAAACTACTTTTTAATTTACTTTGCAACTACTTAGCATGTTAGCTAACTTTAACCCTTTAACCTAACACTTAACCCTAACCCCTAGCCTAGCTAACATTAGCCACCTAGCTAATATTAGGGATAGCCACCTAGCTAACATTAGCCAGAACATATTGTACGAATTGCAATTTGTAACATATCATACAAATTGTAATTCGTAACATATCACACGAAATGGATGATGGACATCCACAAATTAATGCATACCATACGAAACGTAACATATCATACAAATTGGAGTATCCGGGATTTACATTTAATATGTTAGGTCTAGCCCTGAGTCCAGGTTGCTTCATCAGATTCCACACCCAAAGGGTTGTTCTTGAATTGCTGTGGCATTTGCATCTCTTGCCTTTGCAACCACGAAAAACACTTTAAAATGACAAATAGTTACATCTCATACATGTTTTTGTTTATATTGAAGTATTTGTCAATGATAAAACATTCAGACCATTTGCTATGAGACTTGAAATTTTGCTCAGGTGCATCCTGTTTCCATTGATCATCCTTGAAATGTTTCTACAACTTGATTGGAGTCCACCTGTGGTAAATTCAATTGACTGGACATGATTTGGAAAGGCACACACCTGTCTATCTAAGGTCCCACAGATGACAGTGCATGTCAGAGTAAAAACCAAGCCATGAGGTCGTAGAGCTCCGAGACAGGATTGTGTCGAGGCACAGATCTGGTGAAGGGTACCAAAAAATGTCTGCAGCATTGAAGGTCCCCAAGAACACTGTGGCCTCCATAATTCTTAAATGGAAGATGTTTGGAACCACCAAGACTCTTCCTAGAGCTGGCCGCTTGGCCAAACTGAGCAATCGGGGGAGAAGGGCCTTAGTCAGGGAGGTGACCAAGAACCCGATGGTCACTCCGATAGAGCTCCAGAGTTCCTCAGTGGAGATGGGAGAACCTTCCAGAAGGACAACCATCTCTGCAGAGCTCCGCCAATCAGGCTTTTATGGTAGAGTGGCCAGACAGAAGCCACTCCTCAGTAAAAGGCACATGACAGCCCGCTTGGAGTTTGCCAAAAGGCACCTAAAGGACTGAGACCATGAGAAACAAGATTCTCTGGTCTGATGAAACCAAGATTGAAGTCTTTGGCCTGAATGCCAAGCGTCACGTCTGGAGGAAACCTGGCACCATCCCTACGGTGAAGCATAGTGTTGGCAGCACCATGCTGTGGAGATGTTTTTCAGTGGCAGGGACTGGGAGTCTAGTCAGGATTGAGGGAAAGATTAACGGAGCAAAGTACAGAGAGATCCTTGATGAAAACCTGCTCCAGAGTACTCAGGACCTCAGACTGGAGTGAAGGTTCACCATCCAACAGGACAATGACCCTAATCACACAGCCAAGACAATGCAGGAGTGGCTTCGGGACAAGTCTGAATGTCCTTGAGTGGCCCAGCCAAAGCCCGGACTTGAACCCGATCTAGCATCTCTTGAGAGACATGAAAATAGCTGTGCAGCGACGCTCCCAATCCAACCTGACAGAGCTTGAGAGGATCTGCAGAGAAGAATGGGAGAAACTCCTCAAATCCAGGTGTGCCAAGCTTGTAACGTCATACTCAAGAAGACTCGAGGCTGTAATCGCTGCCAAAGGTGCTTCAACAAAGTACTGAGTAAAGGGTCTGAATAGTTATGTAAATATAATATTTAAGTATTTATTTGTTAGCAATTAGCTAAAATGTCTAAAAACATGTTTTTGTTTTGTCATTATGGGGTATTGTGTGTAGATCGATGAGGGGGGGAAAAAACGATTTAATCATTTTTAGACTAAGTCTGTAACGTAACAAAATGTGGAAAAAGTCAAGGGGTCTGACTACTTTTCGAATGCACTGTATATTATCCATGTTGTTGTTCAGCCACGACTCTGAGAAACCTAGGATATTACAGTTCTTCAGTTCCCGTTAATAGGATAGTCTCTAACAGAGCTCATCCAGTCCAGGCGCTTTATCTACACGCCAATGTAGTTTTGTCAGGGTGCCCGCTCGTCGGCCTCTCTTGCGCTCTTTCTCTTCCGAGTCTCTGGGATTAGGGACTGGTCCGGGGTGAGCAGTATGTCCTGTCCGCTGACTCGTTGAAGTAGAAATCTTCATCCAAATCGAGGTTAGAGATCACTGTTCTGATGTCTAGAAGCTATTTTCCGCCATAAGAAACGATGGAGGAAACCTTTAGTTAAGATCTGCGGAAAAAAAATACAGAGAAAATAGCAGAATTGGTTTGGAGCCTGTAAAATGGCAGCTATCCTTCTAGTGCCATTCTCTGTTTATGATGACATAATCCTGTGGACTTTATTCAAATCCAATGTATTTTCCAAGTAGATTCCACGTCACAATACGTTGACAAATTACATTTACACAGCGTGACGTCCTTTACATTACAATGACTAAGTCTACATGAGCAGCTCCTTTATACTCTAAAACGTATTGTTTAAGGGGATAGTTGGACATTTTGGCAAATAAGCCCTTTTTTCTACTTACCCTGAGTCAGCTGCTCCTGTAGACTTCCAGTCATTATGCAACTGTAGTTAGCAATGGCACCATAAACTAGCTTTAATATATTGTATATATCATCAAATAAAAACAAAGGCTTTTAAAATACATTTTTTTTTTTTTTACAAATATGTGTCCCTAAGTTTTAGGTCATTGGTGTTACCGCCTTGGAAATCACTTATTACAAAGATATACAAGGACCTTGAGCATTCCCTCCAGTGGCAAACTGTTATCGGGTAGGGGTCTATATTAAAGAAAATTATTAGCTAATCACATCCTTTTAGTATGTCATCAATTTTAAGATTCCATTGATAATTTGGTAGCCTGGTTGCCAGTGTTTTTAGCTAACATCCCACTCCTGGTACTCCATGACGTGTCAAATAACACAGAGGACAAGGAGTGGAATGTTAACTGAAAAGACTGGCAACCAGTCTAACAATTTGATGTGTCTAAATAAAAAGTCTCATTGGTATTACTCAATTTAAATGAAGAGCAGAATGATTCATTATTATATAGCGACCCGCATAGACAGCTATGCGTGTCTGAGTTGTCGTTCCTTTGTTGTGATTTTGTGATGCACTTTTCCTGTGCCCAGGTTTCGGAAGGTAGCTTAGCGGATAAGAGCGTTGGGCCAGTAAGTGAAAGGTCGCAGGTTCGAAATCCCAGAGCCGACTACGTGAAAAATCTGTATATATTCCCGTGAGCAAGGTACTTAATCCTAATTGCTACTACTGTAACATGCTGACCGTAACATGCTGACCAGACCGCTCTCCGCGCATGTTGATTTTGTCCACCCACACCAGACACGATCAGGACACGCAGGTTGAAATATCAAAACGAACTCTGAACCAACTATATTAATTTGGGGACAGGTCGAAAAGCATTAAACATTTATGGCAATTTAGCTAGCTAGCTTGCTGTTGCTGCTATTTTGTCCTGGGATATAAACATTGGGTTGTTATTTTACCTGAAATGCACAGGGTCCTCTACTCTGACAATTATTCCACAGATAAAAGGGTAAACTGAGTTCGTTTCTAGTAAACTCTCCTTCAGGCTTCTTCTTCTTCTTTGGACTTTATATGGCGGTTTGCAACCAACTTTAAGGTGCATTCCCACCACCAACTGGACTGGAGTGTGGACCTCAGTTCATCTTTCAATCACCCACGTATATGGGTATATGCTCCTAAAAACCAATGAAGAGATGGGAGAGGCGGGACTTGCAGCATGTCAAGCGTCACAAATAGAACCAAGCACCTGGCTACGCAGATGCGCGTGAGCTGTGTGGGTGCAATGATTGAATAACATATGTGTATATTTATTTTGCAACACTCGCACACGCGACTCGAGCGGTGTGGTCAGCATGTAAGTTGCTCTGGATAAGAGTGTCTGCTAAACAACTAAAATGCATGTTCATGTAAATGTTTCAAGGGGTCTGGCATACCAGTCAACCAAAGGAATGCCTGGAATGTTCCGGTCCCAGGTGTCCTTGTGGTTGGTGGAACAGCGGGGGCAGGGGGCCAGGCACCGCAGATTTAAAGGGATACTTTGAGATTTAGGTTGTTTTTCTACTTACCCAGAGTCAGACAAACTCATGGATACTACTTACTCCAAAGCTGGGTGGTTGGTCATTTATATTCTTACAGAGCTATACATTGTAATCAATGTTTTATAAATGTGTTAATTTTACTGCTAATCATAAGAAACGAGATTCTATCCACTTCTTCATTTTCTGCCCCGTTGTTGCATAGAGATGTATAGAGATCGCAACGGTGTATCTTTCCCATTATACAATGGGTGGTTCTAATCCTGAAAGCTGATTGGTTAAAACTGCATTCCAGCCGGTGTCTATTCCACAAGTTACCACTGGCTAAATCTGACGCTAAAATGCCTATTTACTCTGTTCCATCTGACTGCGCAATCCACTGTCTCATCAGCCCTGCCATGTAATTGATCAAATATATCTCCTCTATAAAAATAATCTAGACATTATCTCACATTTCTTTTAGACTAACGTTTAGTTTTTAACTGCGGAGTTTTGCATAAACCTTGCTGTCTGTCTCTCTGACATGTGCAACATTGTTTCAATATTCAAATTCGATCCCCAGCTGTCCCATAGTAATGAACGTCTCGGGAGTCGGGAAGAGACAGACAGCATTTCTCAGCCAGTCAAAATCATGAACCAGCTGGCATACTTTTTATGGATATAAATTAAGAAATGTCAATTGAAAAAAGGTAAAACGAAACGAAGTGCAGCTAGTTTGCAGTCTTTCCAGTTTTAGTTTGAAGTAATTGTGTTAGCTGTGTTGTTGGCTAGCTCCTCTGAACAACAGTGTCCGGACAACAGAGAACATTTTCTATGCCAGGTGATATCGCACCTCATTAGCTCATTGTTATGGATGTATCCAAATAAATGTCACAAGAAAACAGGTTATGAAAATGCAGCTACTGTTATTCTGGCTGCACTCTTTGACGTGACTAAGTTAGCTAGCTAGCAAGCAAGGGATAAGTACGTTGCCAGCCAGTATGGCAATGGAACATTTAGAACGAACGACTGGGTTGCGTCCATAGATAAAGAACAAAAAGACTGGGTCACATCTCTGGCAACCGATCCGATAGAACGAACGACCAGCCGGCTTGGGTGGCAACCCTAGATTTGTGTCTGGAATATATCTTGTGGAAGGATGATATAGTATGAATAAAATAATCAAAATAAAATGTTTAATTAAAATGTCAATCATTATTTTAATATGTTGGTAACCCGTTGTATAAAAGTGATAATGCCTGTGCGCTCACAGACACCATAATTAAGTGATAAAGCTTCTCGGGCATTATCACTTAATTATGGTGTTTGTGAGTGCACAGGCAGTGCCATTGAGACAGATACAATTACATTTACATCATGTTGCGATCTCTACGCGACAACTGGACAGAGAATGAGGACGTGGATAGAATCTAGTTTCTTATGATTAACAGTAAAATGAACAAATTTATAAAATATTGATTACTATGTATAGCTTTGTAAGACTATAAATGAACAACCACCCAGCTTTGGAGTGATTAGAAAGTATATTTCCCTGCTTTGTTTGAAGTAACGTCTTTGTTGTTGTAATATCGCAAACGAACATGGCAGTTTCACGGCTATGGATTCCAGCTTTAAATAAATTATGTTTTTTAGATTTGAGCATCTGTGATCTCCAAAATCCTCAATTACCTAAAATGTGTAATTGGTGTTACCATTATTGGTGTTTCCTACTGGTGGCAAAATGTTATCATAATGGTAAAAATGATTTAAATAATAATATTTAAAGTCATAAGCTCCCATATTATTTGATTTAGAATGGGAAGATGTATCCAAATACATTTCAATAAATACAAATCCAGGAATATGAAGTTATTTTGTTTCCAAAATTCCATGCCCAAATGCCACCGCAATTCAAGAACGACTGCAAAACATTGTCATTAGACTCCTCTTCATCATTATGCTATGCCAAAATAAGAGTCCTGCCATTTGAATCAATGCTCTTATATACACATTTTTAAGGTCCTTGTTGTGGTCTTCCTTGCCGTTATGACCTGTCTGTTGCCATTCTTGAGCGAAATCTCAGCAATTCTTGATTTCTTCCCCTTTTCCACAGGACCTGTTGAAACGTTGCCACAGTGCAGATGCAACGTATCTCTTCCAGCAGGACAAGTTCTATGACATGAGTCTGGACACAGGGGACAAGTCCATACAGTGCGGCCGTAAGGTTGACTGCCTGAAGCTGTGGTTGATGTGGAAAGCTGTGGGGTCACAAGGCTTGGAAGAGCGTGTGGACAGGGCTTTCGCTCATACAAGGTACAAACATAAATCCCAGCTAGCACATTTGGTTCCTTGGAAGTTGTGGGAACGTACATTCTTGCTTTCCCATTGGATCTGGGAACAAAGCCATATGTTTCCTGATTGGTAAAATTGAAAGGTTCTTTAAACTTTCTGAGAAAGGAAGTGAAAATGTTGCCTATTTCGGGGAATGTAAATGTTTTGGTTGCAGGGAGGTTCTGAGAATGTTTTACAATGGTTCCCTTAAAGTTTTCCTGGGAGGTTTTATTAACGTTCTTAGAACAAAAATGATAGGTTATTTGAAGGTAATTAAATAACATTCTGAGAACATGTTTCAATAAGACTTTGAATAACACTGCTAGCTTAGATGAACTGTTTTGAACTCCAAGCACAGATAGGACACATGGCAATTCATTGGTTTAGGCATTAATCATGCAAACAAATGTATTTATTTTATTCTGTTCTCTAGCCATGGAATTAGTATCTTAAAATGTGCTGAGAATGTTCTAAAGCCAAGCAACTATCCTGCACCATTCCCAGAACATTGTGGGAAGGTTGTACGCAAAATAATCATAGGACAGGGTTATTCAACTCTTACCTTACAAGGTCCGGAGCCTGCTGGATCTCTGTTCTACCTGATAACTAAAATGCACAAACCTGGTGTCCCAGGTATAAATCAGTCCCTGATTAGAGGGGAACAATGAAAAAATGCAGTGGACCTGGCTTCTAGGTCCAAAGATGAGTTTGAGGGCCATAGGATAACCACACTCTCACCAAGCTCTAAGAAACATATGGTTCTCAGAACATTATGTGTTAGCTGGGACATTCACAGAACCTACAGCTGTAATTCTGACTAGTCAAGCTCCTCACTTAAAAGACTTCAGAGCTCTCATTTAAAGATGTTAATATCTATGTCAATTAAAGACGTTTCAAATATTATGGAACAAAGATCTGTGTGTTGACTGTCCCACTCGTAGATATCTGGTAGAGAAGATGAAGAAAAGAGAGGGCTTTGAACTTATAGGGAAGGTAAGTCATTGTTTCATCAAATAGATACAAAACATTTTCTTCTCCCATTTTCATCTCACCTGTCTTCTGGGTTTCTCCTGTAAAACAGCCTGAGTTTGTGAACGTGTGTTTCTGGTTCATACCACCCAGTCTGAGGGGAAAGGAGAACAGTCCAGACTACCAGGACAGATTGTCAAAGGTTGGTGTGTGTCAAGTTGTTTACTATGATGCCAGTTATATTTTTTAACTCAATTTCTAGGACATATTCTACATTTAAACCTGTTAGTTTCTGTCGGTCTGGCTGACATAATGCTGTGATCTTGTATCTTCACCAGGTGGCTCCAGTGATAAAGGAGCGTATGATTAAGCAGGGTACTATGATGGTGGGCTACCAGCCTCAGGGAGGACGAGTCAACTTCTTCCGCATGATAGTCATCTCTCCGCAGCTCTCCTACCAAGATATGACCTTCTTTCTGGATGAGATTGAGAGGCTAGGGAATGATCTGTGATAGTCATTCTAGTTATAGTTTTGCATCTCCATTTATGTCACTGACTCCTCTGACTCTCAGCATCAGATATGTCTGTTTTGTGTGTTTTTTAACAATAATATTACTAGTTTTTTACAGTTTTGGGGAAACTACTTTGAAAATATAGTTTACCAAGCTACTAATTACTTCACAATGGAAGAAGTTAAGATACACAAAAAATACCCTTAAGAAAAACATAGTTTACTTAACTAAAGTTACTTTGAAAAAGTAGTTCACTACATCCAAACTACTCCGTGATAAAGTATATCTAAAGGTGAAATGTCAGACTACAAATTTTAAGAACAGATCACAGATCTGCAGTCAATGTTAACAGAATGTGTAATTTAGCCTATTTAACACAAAAACTGATTCAAGTGAGAATTAGGCAGGTCTGATGCTGAAAAAGAAAGGAAATTCCTACTTCACCCTTTAAATTACATTTTTGCAACAAACAAAAAAATTGTGTAGTTAACTACTGAAAACACTACCAAGATTTAAATGTAGTTCAACTACCACCAAGCTACTGCAAAATGTAGTTACATTACTAGTTGAATTACATGTAGTTAACTACTCCCCAACACTGCTTTTTTATCAGACTACTCTAATGGCACTGATTGTCGCCTAACAAAGTGCCTGAAATGTGGTATGTGACACAGTAATAAACCTAGTCCAGTGATATATATATATATATATATATTGTATGGCCTTTATGTATTATTGGGTTGTAGAACATGATGTAGGAGATCCTTCTGAAAAATACCCGTGACAGATGCCGAGGGAAGCCTGATCAGTGACATGATGCGTGGAGACAGACGGACAGACAGACGGACAGACAGACGAGCCCATGGGCTGCGGGCTGCAGCAGAACCGTGTCAACATCCTGGACATGGTTCCATGGAAGACGTCTCCCCTGCATAAACAGTGAACTTGAGTGACTCAACGTGCCTGGATTAAAGATGGCCTTGTATGAGAAGGGTGGATGCTTCCTCAATGTGTCTGCTTATGTTAATGTTTAAGCAGTTGTGTAAGTGTGTACGGCCGGGGGTGGGGAGGGGTGGTGGGGAGGATCTAAGGCTTTGCAGCTGACATAGGTGTGATGCACAGACACTCTGCTGGGGTCACAAGTCCATGAAGAAGCTTTCTCTGGGGCCAGTTCCTGCAGGGCCGGCCCTAGTCTTTTCGGGTCCCTAAGCAAGATTTGGTTGCTCCCCACCCCCCCCCGGGTGCAAAACATTAGTGGCCCCCCTCTTGATGGCGGCGATAAGAAAAATATGTTTTAAAATTAATTTCCTACAATTCTGCCATGTGGCTGAGAATTGTTTTAGCCATTTAATAACTCATTTCATGCAATTCTACTCATTTTGCCATGGGGTGGAGCTAATGTTTTGCCATTTTAAAGCTAATTTCCTGAAATTGTACCCATTTTGCCATGACTTATGCCATGTTAATAGGATATCTGAGTAAGAGTGACTAACAAAATAAATGGGGGCTCCTTAAGTTTAGATAGCTGGCTAGATTAATTGACCAATCTAAAACATGTTAGCTGGGCCAATTGAGTGACTGCTGATGAGGAAAACTGCTGATGCACAACCACATTTTGAAATTCCACCTGGTATATTCTAACTCTCAACAGTAAATTGAGACCCCGACAGAGTCACTTCTGTTAACCCTAGCGATCGGGGGCCTTAAGCGACCGCTTATGTCGCTTATGCCTAGGTCCGGCCCTGACTTCCTACCTTCAAACCCACCTTGCATGTTGACTGAGGTCACTGCACCCTGAGGGCCATGTTTGCATTTGGGGCCAAAGAGATGGGCCACGCCTAAAACTCTCAAAGGGACACAGTTTGTCTTCCTATGGTAACATGAATCCATTTGGGAAATGCAGCAAGTTAGAAAAGCCCTGGGAGTTTTCAAATAGAAAGCTGGTTTGAAAACAAATCTTAGTAATGACTTTAACATTTTAAGCAATTCTCCAATGACGCTTGATCAGTTGGCCTTAATGGGCCAAGTAAAAGGTAGTCAATGCGGTAGTTAGCTACAGTACAACAGTAGAAGCAAAACTGATCAGCAGGGTTTCCCCGAATTTCAGCGTGAGGAATTTTCTCAGCAGAAAACTGAACCTGAATCAATTAAACTGATCTGATAAAAAGATCAACGAACCAATACAAACCACATGAGGACAGTACAATTAAACCAAGGTCCAGGACAGAAGACAGAACTCTCTGTCTATCAGGGTCTAGAAATGTGCCAGGATCTCTGGTTGTATCAGAGGAAGCTGGTGGGAGGAGATATAATGTAATGGCTGGAATGAAATTAATGGAACGGAGTCAAACATATGCAGCCACCAGACCCGGATCAGCTTCCTTTTATTACAAGTGCTGCCAAAGAGAAAAAGTTCCCAGTCCTTTAACTCCCCCAGATGTCTTGATCATCTTGTACTATAACACCAGTATGGAATGGAGTAAACTGTCTTCATGGGAACACAGGCCTATGGGGCAATATGATAGTGATTTGGAAAGGTTAGAAGTTTGGGGCTTATTCGAAATGTGAATGTCGCTGACATGTCACCCTATTCTTCATGAAAGTGAATCATGACTATTCTACACAAAAGCCTACCTTTTCTATCTGAATGTCCCGTACCGAGGCACCCTCCTGAATTTGACACTGGACCCCAAATAAGCCAGTAATCACTATTATTAGTTTCTAGTATGAGATTTGAATGTATTCATGGCATGTTTGGTTCCCAGCGTTGACTAAGTGCAGCCCTAGGTGCTGTTCGTGCTTTTCCAGAGCTCACCCATCCCAGGCCTCATCCTAAATTAATTATGGCCACAGCTTGTATGGGGCCATATCATTAGCAGTAATTGCACACAGCATTCTACTGCCATGTGCCTCCCTTTTCATCACAGACAGTATCAGTGATCCACGAAAGCATCGTATTACCCCACACCAGTGGAGGCTGGTGACTTGCAAAATTGAGGAGGATGGGAGACCCACAGTATAGGCGTGGAACGCATGGAGACGACAAAGCATGTTTAAAAAATTGTGAAAGACTAATTATTTTAACCTAAAGCATTTAATAGAGACATTTATAGTACACTATTAAGGGAAATGAGATGGCTACTAACACAGTGCTGGGAAGAGATCACAGCAGTGATTGAATGAGGGTATGAGGCATGAGTTGAGGTTTTCAGAGGCTTGATTTCAGTGCAGGACAGGGGTTGAGGTGTTCATAGGCTTCAGTGCAGGACAGGCTCATCATGGATGGATGGTGTTGGAGAAGAGCTCAACTCTTCCACTGCGAGCAGGACAGGATTTGACTGGGAAGACAAAAAACAATAACACACTACACAGTTAGACAAAATAGCTAAGAATGACTTAGTCCAAGTAAGGAGTAAAATCACTGATGTGTAATAATGTGATTGTCTTTGTGTATGTGATTGACTCTACATAGAAAATTGACAGGTCTACTCACAGTGCTTGGAGAGGAAACATTCACTGTGCCAGTGGATGAGAGGGCACATGAGACGTGGCTTCAGTTCATGTCAGGAGAGAGTTGACAATGGTAGTGGTCATCACCTCTTAATCAGGGAGCAGGAGGGGACTTATCTATAAATACAAATACCATATACATTCCATTACAGCAGCACCACCATAGGTTTGGTCAAAAAGATTCTCCATGAAGTTAAACTCAGACATCTCAGAATTCACAAAGCCAAACACAGACTGCGCATCTCGCCCACTTGACACATCAAAATAGCCCAAGAAATGTTCCTGGATAAAGTCCTGATCATCCACATACCTGACAACTGCGAGCAGACTGGTGGCATCATAGGTCCCAGAGTGGTGGGGCAATATTTTCCCCCTGGGGTCCAGAGTTTTTCCTTATCTGGTAACCTAACCAGGAAAACTCCGGACCCTATAGGGTATGACAGTGATTAATCAGTTGTAAAAAGGTTTTATACAGGCTATCATGGGACCCGTTTTTTTTTAATCAGGTCACATGTTTTTTTGTTTACTCCTGGAAAAAAACTACTGGCCATGGGGAGGATGAAAAACCTGTCAAACTGCAGCAAATGAATTATATTTAGACTACACAAACAGGGGGGTTTCCTCTACCTAGACACAGAGACAACAACTGATGGACAATAGAACTCACAGGGCTGAGCTTGCTTTATGCATGTTTGTAACATGTCATCACTATTACAGTGTATTGGGAAAGTATTCAGACCCATTGACTTTATCCACATTTTGTTACATTACAGCCTTATTCTAAAATTGATCAAATGAAATCCTCAATCTACACACAATACCCCATAATGACAAAGCGAAAAAAGGTTTGCAGAAATGTTTGCAAATGTATTAAAAATAGAAAAAACTGAAATATCTTATTTACATAAGTATTCAGCCCCTATGCTATGAGACTCGAAATTCAGCTCAGGTGAATCCTGTTTCCATTGATCATTCTTGAGATGTTTCTACAACTGGATTGGAGTCCACCTGTGGTAAATTCAATTGACTGGACATGATTTGGAAAGGCACACACCTGTCTATATGAAGGTTCCCACAGTTGACAGTGCACGTCAGAGCAAAAACCAAGACATGAGGTCGAAATAATTGACCTTAGAGCTCCAAGACAGGGTTGTGTCGAGGCACAGATCTGGGGATGGGTACCAAAAATTGTCTCCAGCATTGAAGGTCCCCAAGAACACAGTAGCCTCCATCATTCTTAAATGGAAGAAGTTTGGAACCACAAAGACTCTTCCTAGAGCTGGCCGCCTGGCCAAACTGAGCAATAGGGGGAGAAGGGCCTTGGTCAGGGAGGTGACCAAGAACCCGATGGGTCACTCTGACAGCTCCAGAGTTCCTCTGTGGAGATGGGAGAACCTTCCAGAAGGACAACCATCTCTGCAAGCACTCCACCAATCAGGCCTTTATGGTAGAGTGGCCAGACGGAAGCCACTCCTCAGTAAAAGGCACATGACAGCCCGCTTGGAGTTTGCCAAAAGGCACCTAAAGGACTCAGACCGTGAAACAAGATTCTCTGGTGTGATGAAACCAAGACTGAACTCCAAGCCTGAAACATGGCACCATCCCTATGGTGAAGCATGGTGGTGGCACCGTCATGCTGTGGGGATGTTTTTCAGTGGCAGGGACTGGGAGACCAGTCAGGATCGAGGGAAAGATGAACGGAGTAAAGTACAGAGAGATCCTTAATGAAAACCTGCTCCAGAGTGCTCAGGATCTTAGACTGGGGTGAAGGTTTACCTTCCAACAGGACAACGACCCTAAGCACACAGCCAAGACAACGCAGGAGTGGCTTGTCCTTGAGCGTCCCAGCCAGAGCCCGGACTTGAAACCGATTTAACATCTCGAGAGACCTGAACATACAATACCTGTCAAAAGTTTGGACACACCTACTCATTCAAGGGTTTTTCTTTATTTTTTTTACTATTTTACATTGTAGAATAATAGTGAAGACATCAAAACTATGAAATAACACAAATGGAATCATGTAGTAACCAACAAAGTGTTAAACAAATCAAAATATATTTTATATTTCAGATTCTTCAAATAGCCACCCTTTGCCTTTATGACAGCTTTTCACACTCTTGGCATTCTCTCCACCAGCTTCACCTGGAATGCTTTTCCAACAGTCTTGAAGGAGTTCCCACATATGCTGAGCACTTGTTGGCT